AGACTTCTGTACAACCAAGTCAATTACAGGGGAAAGCAACTCGAGGTAGAGGACTGCCTGGGACATTTAGGACCTTTTCTTTTTCATGTTCTTGTGACAAAGTATTTAAAAGAATTTGCAGATTTCATTAGAATCTGACAGGCTGCATGCGCTATAAGCCTTCAGCAATGGCCTCAAACTCGTGACCTCTTGGGCTGTCAATTGTGCGCCTTAAAGCCCATACCACCCGAGACCCTACTTAGAACTAGATTAATGGGAATAGTACTACAAAATGCATGTACTGCACAGAAATCACATACTGGCAGGGAATGGGCTTAGTGATGCAGCATCACATTTACACAAATCCAAGGACTTCCTTCTCTCAATTTTCAACATGGGATGGGGCAGAGGGGAAACTGCTGGTCTTGGATTAGAGTACAAAGCACGGCAACAGGTGACTGCTGTGGTTCTGACTCCAACCTGGGCTTAGGGTTCAAGCCACTACCACCCTGGCCCTTGCCTGCCCCCCACACTGCCTCTATCCCCCTTCCACATGCAGCTACCCTTGGTCATGGCTCTGGCCTAGCTCTGGCTGGGGGTCATGGATCACACTCTGGTTCTAGCCCCAATCTGTCTAGGCAGTAGTTGTGGCAAGACAAGCTTCCACCATGGCTCTGGCTCTGTCCCTGTCCCTGACCCTGGGTCTAGGACAGCTGCTGCTGCCTGATTGGGTAAGGGCTAAAGCAGGGGCTAGGGCTATGACTGAAGGTAAGGAGCAGTCAGGGGGGCAGAGTACAGGTCACCTCACTCCCCTGACACAGGCCACCCCATCACCTGCCTGCCTGCCTCACTGGAGCAACCAGGGGTTGGGGGGAGAAAGGAGATGAATCTAAGTTGACTTTCCAATAATCAGATTCTATACATGGAAAATTATAACACATTAATGCATTTCCCATGTTAGAAGCTAATTATTGGCGGCAGGTTATCTTAAACTCAAAGTCACTCAGATTACGGTACACATGGTATCTCCTTTACATCTAAATTCTAGGATACTAAACCATGAAAGCCTTTGACCTGGTAGAAAATTCTTCAGGGTCCCTTCCCCTATGATTCTATGAATCAGTACTGGTTTTGGATTACTCATGCTTCATACAAATACAAGATTAAGTTACTTTATCTAAGTCAATTACAAGCTCCCTCCTCCACAGCATGTGACTCCTGATCTTCCTATCAACAGACTAGTTAATTCCCATTAGTTTGGCATAATGTGTATTAAGCACTTTTGCACAGGGAGAGTCAGACTAACTGCATTTTACATTTCATCATTTTTTGTTAAATTACATGCCAAGCTCATGTCACAGCTGAAAAACACACTATTGAAGAAAGCAGAACACAAAATAAAAGTATGTGCCTGTTTTTCAAAGCCAGATTTTTAAAGTACAGAGTGAGATGCAAACAAAAATTATGTCTTTTCAATATTTCATTTTAAGCATATTCGTACCTAATGTCCATGTCCCTTCATCAGCTATTGTAGAGTCAAAGAGTTTACCCTGAAAAAGAATTATAACGTTACATAAAACTGATACAATTTTTAATGCTAATGAAAAATACCAAGAAAAAAGCAAGTCTGCTTTCAGAAGAAAGCAGTCATTGATTTCTGCTGTATCAAAATTTGAGTGTTGCTACAGTTTGAGTGTTGCTATTAACTATTTTAGCAATTACTAACAACAACTAAAAATCAGGACACAATGCCTGCCTTACATATCTACAAGAGCAAGATTACAACTCAGAGTACAGACCCAAAGGTATTTTTCAATTTATACACTTCATCCTCATACACAACAACTTCACTTTCAATAACCAACACTTCCTCCAGACCGTAGGCACAGCTATGGGTACCAAAATGTCCCCACAGCATGCCAACCTTTTCATGAACCACCTAGAAGAAGAATTCCTCAAGGACTGCACCATCAAACCCTTGCTATACTTAAGATATATTGATGACATCTTTATCATTTGGACTGAAAACTTGCAATTGATTTTTTCATCAGAAATTCAATAATCATCACCCCTCCATCAGGCTCTCTCTGGAATACTCCAATACCAACATTTCCTTTTGAGACATGATGGTCACTATCCAGAATGGTAAAATACAGACCACCATATACAAGAAACCCACGGACTGCACTGAACCATTAATCACCCTAAACATACCAAGAAAGCTGTAATATACAGCCAAGCTCTCCGATACCACCAAATTTGCACTGAGAACACCTGTGATCCTCACCTCACACATCTCAAAAGGCTTTCACATAACAAAGACACTCCTCCAGAGAGATAGACTGTACTTTTGAAAGAGCCATCCGGATACCACATGAAGAACTGCTGCAGTACAGAAGAAAACTCCCCATAAATCGCACACCACTGGTTACGACATATTATTCCTCCCTGGAACCTATATGGAAAATTCTCAAACAATTGCAACCCATACTAGAAGGAGACCCTATTCTTAAAGTGATCTTCCCAGAACCACCCGTTCTATCATTTAAACAAGCACCAAACCTTGCCAACCTCATCACCAGAAGCAAACTTCCTATGACCCAAAACATGGTGAATGGATCCACACCATGCCATGACAAGAAATGTAAACCTGCCAACACATCTCCACCACCCCCACAATTACTACATGTCACAATAGAACCATCAACATTCCGGGATCTTACACCCGTACCTCCGGAAATGTTATATATCTCATCCAGTGCACTAAATGCCCCGATGGAAAATATGTAGGAGAAACCAAACAACAACTGTGCACCAAAACGAATGCACACCGAAAATCTGTCAAAGAAAAGAATATCAATTACCTGTGGGTGCCCACTTCTCACAAGAAAACTATATTCTCTCTCCAATCTCAGTTCTAATTCTCAAAGGGAATTTACAAAACACCTTTCACAGATGAGCCTACAAACTTCACTTCATCAACTTACTGGATACAAAAAAATCATGGATTAATACAGACATTGGATTTGACACATTATAACCTGCCTAACATTCAACTCTCCAGGTAAACCCTCTACTTTTTACCAGCTATTCTCATTCCCTTCCTACCTCCCCATCCTTTGACTACAGCTACATTCATTCCCCTTCCCCCCCCCACCCCCACCTGTCTCTTACCCACTGACCAACCCAATTTACATTTTAATTGACTGGCTTTCTTGCATACCTACTGGCCTCTGGCTGCTTTACCACTCTATCCAGGAAGAACACAGACCATCTGCAGACGCTTCCTCTGCCTGATGAAGGATAACTGTACCCGAAAGCTTGCAAAGAAGAATTTTTCCAACTATCTGAGTCGGTCTAATAAAAGACATCAGATTTACCCAAAGTACCTTGCCTGCCTAATATTTTACAATGCTTTTTTTTTATAACAATACCCTTCTTATAGTTAAGCGCTTAAAGAGAGGGACTTTGCCTACGTATCCTACTTGAAACGTTTAGCAGGCTAGCACAGTACAGACACTTCAGCCGGAGAACCAAATGATACAGTGTTAACAGTACATAAAGCCCTATACTGGCTGTGCTCTAGTGGGCGCCTACAACAGTGGGTCAGCGCACGGGCCTCATCTGGAGTGAGTGATGCTTCACGGGCCCTTCAGCGTTTGCAGGGTTGTTGCCAACTGAACAGAAGGGAGGCAGCTACACCCAGGTCACATACTTCTTCCCAGTAAGGTTTCTCTATCTTTGTTTTTCATAAGTCCGGTGGGGAGGGGTTCAACCCTGTTTCTGGCACAAGTCAGCCCAGGCTGTTTCCCTCCACTCCAAGCAGCGCTTACTGAGGCCGGGGCCAGAGCGCTGCGGCCTCCGGAGCTTCGTGAAGGCTGCTCGCTCCTAAGGCACCCCCTGCCCGAGTACAGCGCCACAGTATGGGCCCGTGTGGCCAGGAGGGAGTTCCCCCTCTCCCCACACAGATCCTACAGCTGCTGTCTGGGAAGCTGTGTGGCGTGGTGCGACAGAGCCTGTGGAGCTCTTCGGGAACCTACACCGACCCCGTACGGTTGTCAACTCTGTTTGAATTTATTCTGAGAGGTTTCTGAACATCAACGTGCCCGTGACAATGCGAACGTGCCCATGTGCTTGTGTATATCAGCTACTGATTACAGTGCACAGACTTCACGCCAGTAAGGCAAGCGCATGTTACTATTACATTTCAAAAACCAACTGGGATACTGTATAAAATCAAATTCAACATTGAATATTTATTTGAATGAATGCCCTATCATTGATCTCCAGGGTGACTCTCAGCAGCCTCCTGAAGATTTGTATCTCGTTCCCAGAGACGCGAGGGCAAACCTGGAGAGTTGGCAACCCTACCGCCGGGGCGTCTCCCACGGGGCCTCCCTCCGTCGCGGGCCCGCGGTACCTGGAGCAGGTCCTGGCCCTGCACGGAGAGCGCCAGGCGCTGGCTCTGCAGGCGGCACCGCACGTCCTTGGCCCGCGTGCCCGGCGGCACCTGCACCTCGATGAACACCTCCTCTAGCGTCTGGTACCAGCAGCCCCAGGGCGTGGCGCAAGGCACCACCCCGCTGCGCTCCTCGAAGGGAGCCGACATCCAACCCCGCGCGGCCGCCCCCTGGCACCGGAAGTAGCCAGACGCGCAGGCGCACAACGCCGCTAAGCCCCAGCTTCCGGGTGGTTTAGTGCGCGTGCTCCAGCCGGCGGCAGGAAGGAGCGGTGATTGGTCGAGCGGCTCACAGGTCGAGCGCTGTGATTGGGCGCCGGGGTTTGCCGGGAGAGCGGTTAGGCACTTTGAATCCGGCGCCGGGGTCGGCGGTGACTTAGGTGTGCTGCGCTGTGCTGCGGGGCTGTCATGTCCTTCCCCAAGGCGCCGCTGCGGCGCTTCAACGACACCGCGGGTGAGTCTCGCCTGCCGGCGCTTGCCTTGCCTTCGGGCTGAGCGCGGCCGCCTGCAAAACTGGGGGAGCCGGGCGGGGTTTGCTTTCCTCCGGTTCTTTTTTCCTTTTATTTCACTGTGCTCGTCTCCCCCTTCCTGGCAGGGGGCGCGGCGCTGTCCGGGTTGATTTCAGATCCGTCCGCTCCTCCGTGCCGCGGGACGGTGGCGCTGTAACGTGCTCCCCAGTCGTCGGGGCCGGACCCGCTCCGTCTCCTTCAGCTCCTCCTCGTGACCCCCAAGCACAGCCTCGCTGCTGCCGCCCCACGACACGGGACCCCTAGAGTTTAACGTGTAGTTGTAGGGGCAGGTTGGATGGGGACGATCGGGCTAGTTGGACTAGCTCGGCGGTTCTCAACCTATCCAGTGCTATTTGTAAACCTCAGTGGCCAGTCCTGACCCGCTGTCCCAAACCCCCAGTGTGGGGGAGTGTATGTGGGGGCGTGGGCAGCAGCCTCTTGAAGGCTGCAACAGTGCCAGCCTGTAAGGGAAAAGCTGCAGCTTCCCACGTTTCTCTCCTTTAAAGGAGAATCCATTTTTAAAGTTTCTTCACAACCCTTTCATATGTTCTTCCGACCTGCTTTTGGGCCACGACCCACGGGCTGAGAAACACTGGACTAGATGACCTCTGGAGGTCCCTTCCAGCCCCGCTTCTCTGTGATGCTGTGACTTGCCCGTGTTCTTTTATTTGTGCCTTGCTCTCGCAAGAGAGGAAAACTTTTCGACAGGATGAACTTGACACGGGTGGGGGGGACACACGACATTTTAATTAGAGCAGCTTCAAGAGCCACTCTAAAGCACCCACAGCATCTGATGTATTCAGTATCCTGCACTTCAAAATAGCACCAGTGGCTCTAACTAAAGCTCGTTCGGGCCATTTTGATGCATGGGGATGGTGGATACACAAGATGTGGAGGCTGCTGGAGTAATTCCAGCACAGTAAAAGCAGCATCTCCGCACATCTACAGGCACCCGAAGGGGCACTGAATACATCTGTTCATTGTGGCAACCCATCCACAAACTTAATTCTCCCTGTCAGGTTATTCCAGTGTTCCCTGCTGTGCCAAACATCGCTGTCATTTTTTTAACTTGCATCCCATTTCTAGGGTCCCATGAAGTCGATTCCTCAGATGCTGTAAAAGGCCCTATGCTCTCTGACAAATCCCACTTCAGAAAACAGAAAGGTAAGCAGTGCCATGGCTTGACACTTGGCAAGCTTTGGAAGTTTTGGAGATCTTGCAAAACAGAAATTGTAGGTGCTCAAATACTGCTGCTTTCCTTTTTTTAGTGTTTTGAGATTTTTCAGTGTTTTGCTTTTTACTCCATGATGATTGCTGATTATTAGAGGGCTGCTGACAATTTGAAAGTATGCTTCTTTGTTTCTCTTTCC